GCCTGCTGGGGACGGGGCTGAATGTAACTGACAGTGTCCCTAAAGAGGAGCAAACTTCTGCTGACATTCTGCTCTTTCTCTCTAGCCCCTTCCTAGAAATCCACCAATTGAAGAAGCTGTTCTTCAGATTGGTCAGAGCTTGACACCCACTGGGAAGACTATCACTAAAGAACAGAGCCACTGCATTGAAAGGTGATGTGTGTCATGGTCATATTTTCTGTTCCAGCTTTTCCACCTGGTTCTGGTGGTAAGAGACTACCAGACATGATTCATTGGGGAACAGAGCAGGAAGGCTTGCTTTGGCTTCTTGGCCAGAATTGCATTTTCCAGCGTAGCTCAATTTTGCCATGAAGAAGCCCTATATGTTGATGGGCAACTGTTATATCCCCAGCTATGTATAAAGCACCACTTGGTTTGTCATCCACTTATTGTTGTTTGTCATCACACTCTTGATTGAGGAACCCACAAGGATAGACAGTGGGAATAAATAGTATTAGGGGACAAAACCTCACTCAAAGTTATTAACATAGACATTAAATTTCTTCACAATAACATCAAAGTTTACTACAGAATTTGGAAGCAAGAAAAAGTCACTCATGGTTTTGAAATGATCCGTTACATAAGGAGCTCTGGTGGCACAGTGCCTAAGGTGGGATTAGATTAGCTTTCCTCCAATCCTTACACTATTTTCTTCTTCATATAGTGCAGTTTCTCAGATTATTTGCTCAGCATACAGGTTGAATAAGTATGGTGAAAGGATAACCCTGATGTACACCTTTCCTGATTTTAAACCATGCTGTATCTCTTTGTCCTGTTCAAATGATTGCCTCTTAGTCTATGTACAAATCAGCATAAGTACAATTAAGGGTTCTGGAATTCCTATTTTTTGTAGTGTTATCCATAATTTGTTATGATCCACACAGTTGGATGCCTTTGCATAGTCAACAAGACACAGGTAAACATCTTTCTGGTATTTTCTGCTTTCAGTCAAGATCCATCCAATGACAGCAGTCATATCTTTCATTCCATGTCCTCTTCTGAATCTGTCTTGAGTTTCTGGCAGTTACTTGTCAATATACTGCTGCAACAGTTTTTGAATTATTTCAGCAAAATTTTATTTGCATATGATATCAACGATGTTGTTTGATAATTTCTGCATTCTGTTGGATCATCTTTCTTTGGAATGGGCATAAATATTGATCCCTTCCAGTCAGTTGGCCAGATAGCTCTTTTCCAAATTTCTTGGCATAAATGAGCGAACACTTCCAGCATTGCATATATTTATTGAAATATCTCAGTTGGTAGTCTGTCAATTCCTGGAGCATTGTTTCTTGCCAATGCCTTCAGTGCAGCTTAGACTTCTTCCTTCAATACCATTGGTTCTTGATCATATGCTACCTTCTAAAATGGTTGAATGTTGACCAACTGTTTTGTACTACAATGACTTTGTATATTCTTTCCATTTTCTTTTGATGCTTCCTGCATCATTCATATTTTACCCATAGAATCCTTCTATATTGCAACTCAAGGCTTGAATATTTTCTTCAGTTCTTTCAGCTTAAGAAATGCTGGGTGTGTTTTCCCCTTTTGTGAATAACTCCAGTTATTTACACATTTCATTATAATACTTTACTTTGTCTTCTCAAGCCAGCCTTTGAAATCTTCTGTTCAGCTCACTGCTAAAACGGCAGGGAGGCCACATGTTCTGACCTCCTCTAACCCCATAAAAGGAAGACAGGATTACCAGCAGTAACCCAAGGCCTATTCCTGCCAGGCCAGACATGCTGCCTTCCCTCTCCAGCCCTTTTTCCAACCGTTCCTCCCAAAGCACCCACC